CGACTAGCCTGGGCCCCACTAGGTTCTGGGGTTCAAGTGGAATGTGGAGAGTGTTTTTCTCCTTCTCCATCTCAGGAACTGCTGAGAACATGGGAAAGAGCCTTGATTCCTCTGCAGCAGGAAGCCATGGGCATCGAGGTGGGAGGGTGGTAGAGGCCAGCTCTTGCATGGCAGCTGGGGGCAACACCTCCTCAAGAGGGGAAGGAGGTGTAAGGGCTGCCAGTGAGAGAATTGTCCAGGTTGCCTGCTGCTAGCAGAGACAGACCCCAGTTTAGGAAGCATAAGGAGAGGCACAGAAAAGCCCACAGACTGAAGGTATAAAACGGACCACACGGGGGCATGCTTTACCTTTCTCCTGCCCTCACATATGCTGCAAGCAACAAGGACGCTGAGTAGAAGACAGAGAACTCCAAAGAGGAGACTGGCTCAGGTTTGAGGGACAAACTCGTATATTGAGGACTGTAATATCCAGTGGGGTGAAAAAAACTGCTTACTCTAGATATTGCCCATTCGAATAGGTTAGACGCGTGCTCATATTTGATTTTCCTTCTGTAGCCATGCTGACTTTTTGCCTATCACTTAGGCTATGTCTACACTGGCAAGATTTTATGCCTCCTTTTTGCCTATCTCTTAGGCTATGTCTACACTGGCAAGATTTTGCTCAAATACGTTTAATGCAAGAGTTTTTGCGTTAAAGTATTTGCGCAAGACAGTGTCTACACTGGCATGTGCTTTTGCGCAAAAGCATCCGTGCCAGTGTAGATGCTCTCTTGCACAAGAAAGCTCTGACGGCCATTAATTTGAAATAGCGGAGCACTTATTTTGAATTTGGTAAACCTCATTCCACAAGGAATAACGCCAAATTCAAAATAACTATTTCGAAATAGGGGGCCTCCAGCCTTCCCAGGGTGCCCTGGTGGCCACTCCAGCCTCAACCAAGAACACTCCTCTCCCACCCTCCACCCCAGAGCCCTTAAAGGGGTTGACTCTGGCCACAGTGCCTATGCCAGCTCCAAGCCTGCCAGCCCA